TGTGTGAAATACATCAGAAATAAAGAATACAAATGTGTATTCTTTATTTATTCTTTATATGAAACAGCCTGAGGTGTGCTCACTGCTGCTCTCTGATTGGTGTGTTGCTTGACCAATGACCCCGACTTTTGTTTTGTTATCATTACGTGGCTGAGTGTTTAGATGAAAGCCCAGTGGCGATCTGTCCATCTGTTAAACTGATTATACAGTAAAGCCATCGAAAATAATATGATATACAGTACAGTTCAAGTACATGGGTCTCTGTGTTTCATTATAGCTCGGCTCTCTCTGTGTGGCACGAGCGCATTTTGTCAATGCGCGAGTGGTAACGTAGAATATTGTTGTTAGCATCTGGTTAGCTAGCTATGCTAACGGATATAAAGAGCTGTTTCTACACCAAGGTGGAGGAGAGTCCTCTCCTGTCAGACTGAGAGGATCTTATAACGTCAGCTCAGTGAGGTAAAGGACTCAGTGTTTAGATGGTTCACTTTAGTGTAAGTTATCTCAGTGGGTCTCAAACGGTTTGGTCACCATTTATGTAAACAAGTATTTGCGAGGAGTAGACTACCTTTATATGATCATTATAGTTATTAAAGAATAAGAGAATCAATGAAAAACGGGTATGAAATACTATAGGACAGTAACACAAGAATACCATTTATAAGGGGAGTGATTAGTAAAATATCCATAAAGAAAAAGTAAATCTGTTTACAGTTCTGTTTCATATGGATGTTGAGAGATGTATCCATAGATCTCTTCATGTTGCTCTCAAAGTGCACCAGATTGATGCTTTCAACTTCAATATTTAAAAAATAATCTTCCCGGGGGAGCATGCCCCCAGACCCTCCTAGAGGACGTTAGGTCCACCCCCACCTAAAACATGTTCACATGGATAGGATACTAAATACATTTGCACACTTTTCATATGGTGGCCTATGTCCATATGTTTCTGTTTTGGTGGTTGTGCCACAACCGTGCATGTATGCACAAGTCATAGGTGCGCTATACAATAGCACTACACCCTGCAATGTGTGTGAAAGACAATAGACTTTACAGCATGTTTTTTTAAATTGAAGTTGCGTTGGTGTTTGTGTGTTGGTTGTTGACGGCAGTGTGTGCCCCCCCTTGGTAAATGATTTCCCCCCCCCATTTGATTTGTTCTAGAGCCGACCCTGGTCCCCTCTTCTTCATGTCTCTTCTACATCACCATGTGTCCCCTCTTCTTCATGGCTATTCTACATCAACATGTGTCCCCTCTTCTTCATGTCTCTTCTACATCACCATGTGTCCCCTCTTCTTCATGTCTCTTCTACATCAACAGGTGTCCCCTCTTCTTCAAGTCTCTTCTACATCAACAGGTGTCCCCTCTTCTTCAAGTCTCTTCTACATCAACATGTGTCCTCTCTTCTTCATGTCTCTTCTACATCAACATGTGTCCCCTCTTCTTCATGTCTCTTCTACATCAACATGTGTCCCCTCTTCTTCATGTCTCTTCTACATCAACATATGTCCCCTCTTCTTCATGTCTCTTCTACATCAACATGTGTCCCCTCTTCTTCATGTCTCTTCTACATCAACATGTGTCCCCTCTTCTTCATGTCTCTTCTACATCAACATGTGTCCCCTCTTCTTCATGTCTCTTCTACATCAACATGTGTCCCCTCTTCTTCATGTCTCTTCTACATCAACATGTGTCCCCTCTTCTTCATGTCTCTTCTACATCAACATGTGTCCCCTCTTCTTCATGTCTCTTCTACATCACATATGTCCCCTCTTCTTCATGTCTCTTCTACATCAACATGTGTCCCCTCTTCTTCATGTCTCTTCTACATCAACATGTGTACCCCTCTTCTTCATGTCTCTTCTACATCAACATGTGTCCCCTCTTCTTCATGTCTCTTCTTCATCAACATGTGTCCCCCTCTTCTCCATGTCTCTTCTACATCAACATGTGTCCCCTCTTCTTCATGTCTCTTCTACATCAACATGTGTCCCCTCTTCTTCATGTCTCTTCTACATCAACATGGGTCCCCTCTTCTCCATGTCTCTTCTACATCAACATGTGTCCCCCTCTTCTTCATGTCTCTTCTACATCAACATGTGTCCCCTCTTCTTCATGTCTCTTCTACATCAACATGTGTCCCCTCTTCTTCATGTCTCTTCTACATCAACATGTGTCCCCTCTTCTTCATGTCTCTTCTACATCAACATGTGTCCCCTCTGTGGAAAGAGACTCTGAAAGTTTCAGGAACAAAGATTCTCTCTCTTTTTGATCCATTTCTATAAAAACCTGTCTGAAAATGAGCTGATCAGATTTTGGCCACTTTATGATGTCATAACGATGTGTTGTCTTGTGTAACCATTAGCCAATCAGCAACCAAGGTAACCCCCCCTTATCACCTGAATCTCCTCCTAGAGCACCATTGAGTTCTTTGTAACCAAATGTCTCTCAGAGGGGCGTGGGGAGGGGCTCCTTATTTTCATCTGAAGTAACAGACAGAGAATCAGCACTTTGGAAACAGGGCTGAAACAGAGGGGATTATGGGTAATGCTGCAATGATCTGTTTGGTGTTCCAGCCAATCAGAGACAGGCTCTGTATATATCTGAGACCTGTGATCTCACCTGATGAAACACAGTACACAGTACACCTTTAATACAAATGTAATACAGAATTTTAATTTGACATTTATTGTGAGTGAAAATAATAATATTAAGACTCACTTCTAGCAGTTTCAACATCTTTTATTTGACACTTGAGCTTGCTTGTCTTTCATAAGCTTTCATCTGGGGACACCAGGATTATGAACATTGATTTAAGAACGTTTTTTTGTGTGGAAATAAATTGCAATCCTTCTACGCAACCCCTGCAATCCCCTTAAGAACCACTTGGGGTCCGTGTACCTCCAGTTGGGAACCACTTAGGGAGGAGCTAAATAATAACATATAACATATCGCTGATGAAACTGAAAGAGAACACGATTATCCAACAACATCTTTTATTATCACACCTCAATCACATTACATTTAGTAATCAAGCACTGCTGACTGTTGTTAGACTTTAGGTCACATTTCTATTCAATTATTTACTGTCTTTTTGTATTATATGTTCAACAATAAGCAAAGAAAGAAGAGAAATACAGTAAATGCATCACATTAAGATCAACAAGTTGAATCTCCACAAACTGCATGAAGCTGCAACGTCGGTCCTTTGATCAGGAAGAACAGGAACTTTAACTGAAGACAAATAAAACTTTCAATTTAATAATCAAGACAGCATTTGTGTTGCCGCAAACATCTTCAAGACAAGTTACATAACTGTGGAAGTCTGAAACCTTGACTTGAAACATAAATGTTTGGCATATAATCAAAATGTATTATACATTGAAACATCTTAATAATTGATTAATAAAAACAAGAGAACAAAAGTGAGTGGTCACCGTTATAGGCACCAATACTCGAGCGGACAGAGGTCAACAAATAGGCGCATTCACACCGCAGTACTTTTCCCACAAAAGGTTTCGTGAGAACTTAGTTCATGAGAACTCTTTTGTCGCGTTCACACCAAAAAGAGCCGGTACTAAAATTACTTCATGAGAACCTTTTTACCCCCACGAAAGTCCCTGCTAGAGAGCAGAGAGCTGCTAGAGAGCAGGGACTTTCGAGCGGCTCTCTTGTGAGAAAAGAGCTATATTTCTGATTGGCTGGAAGGATTGCAAACCACGCCCCGTAAAACTCCCAAAAAGTTTTGTGAAGCCGCCATTTTATTATCCTCGCATTAGCATTATTAGCATTAGCATTAGCCCAGCGCAGAAACGCAGAGAGACTAACTTATGGCAACACAAAATAAAACATGGGAGCGGTGGAGATGAGGAGGTGTCGGCGTTCTGGCGATTTACTCTGAAGGCTTCAGTAGAAGCTGCTGGGAGTCCCAGCAGCTTCTACTGAAGCCTTCCCCAACTCCGGGGACTTCCGGCCGGGGACTTTGGGCGGCAGTATACGCCTTGAAGTTATTTGCGGCCTGCCAGTAAACCCAAAGCAGAAGAAGAAGAAGTGACGTCAGCGGCTTCATTTGACTAATCCCCCCCCAGGGACTTATTCCGGTGTGAACGCGATCTGTACTTAGTTCATGCGAACTAAAGAGTTCACATGAACCTTTGTGGGAAAAGTACTGCGGTGTGAATGCGCCTACTGACTGTGTGTGTCCGATAAGAAGCAGTTTTCCATAATGCAGGTCGGTGGGGTTCTTAACCTGATAAATGACGCCACCAGCTGGACAAGATCTCTAAAATCTAACAAAGCTTGATAATGACAAAAAGTGTGTGCTAATGCGTCATGCTAACTTTAGTATTGGTCATAACATGGCTCAGGTCAACCATTTTTTTTAAAGAGCCTTCATGTCATGATTTCCCCTAATATCCAAAGAAATGTCCAACCTTCTTCAAGAAACCTTTCTTTTCTTGCGTCTCCTGTTTCTCTCGAGATAATTCCTCTTCCGTTTTTGTGAGTTTTTTTCGATTGGCCACTCTGGAGATGATTGTGGCTTTTTCCCTCATCTCCTCCAAAGACCGAACACGTGACTGGTAACCCACTTTGGCCTCAGCCTTTTCTCCTTCAATCAGCATGTCAATGTAATCTGGAGTGGTCAGAAGGTTAGGGCTCAGGGCGATCTCTTGCAGACGAGTTAAAGAGTGAGATGACTGATCCATGAGGGACACTATCATCTCTTGGAGGTGATCGATCTCCTCCTCTTGACTCTCAATCAACTCCTGAACAGTCATCTTTTCGTTCGCAGCTTTATTGTACTTGACTTTAAGCTCTTCCAGTGTCTGGGTCTCTTTTACTTTTACATAGTCCCAGCTGTATGTCTGGTTGAAATGCACACTCCAAATGCATTTTCCAGGGCAGACAGTGCACCTCCCAGAACTATCCATTGACGCACAGACACGTTTTTGACTATCGTCCGCTATCATACACGGGTAATGGCAGGTGATGGAATAGTTCTGGCAGTTGGTAATGTGCTCTCCTTTCTTTGTGAGCACTTTTTGGACTGGCTTAATAACATCCACTTCAATCTCAAAGTTTTCATTTGAAGTCATGGCTGTTTCATGCTCTTTAATCTTTTCTTTGGTTGTCTTGATTTGTTCAAGTTTTGCTAATCCAGCTTTTACTTGCGGTTGCAAACCTTCAACGGCCGCTTCAAGATGCCTCCATTCTTTTAGAACCTCTTGGGTCATGAGCAAGCTTTTGGTTGTCAGTTTAGTCAAAGCATTGAAGAACTTCTCCATACTTTTGATGCCCATCTTCCAAAACATTTCATCAAAGTCATCATCATCCTCATCAGAATTCTCCTCACAGGCCCGATCACTGCTGCTTCTGTTGTCTGCAAACAACGCTGAGTTGTTGAATTTGAAGTAAACTGGAAGCCCTAGGTCATTTTTTGGACATGGAACCCTAGAGTTGTTTATTGCCTCAAGAACAGGTGGCTGCTTGCCATCTGCAAAGGTGACCAGCATCTGAATATTCTCTGCCACGTCTTTGCCAAAGATGGAGAGCACAGAGTCAAACACATATCGTTGTGTGGCTGTGCAAGAGAGGCCTGGGTGACAAAACACACAGCATCAATCTCACTGACTCCATTCGCAGAAGTGAAAAGCCTCCTGATTTGCTCTGTGATCTCCTTGTCTCTTTCTATTCCTCTTGTATCTCCAAAGCCTGGAGTATCAACAACGGTCAGAGAGAAAGGGGTTTTAAAGCCCTCTTGGTGGTTGATTTTGTACACAGTGACTTCAGAGGTCTGGCTCTCAGCTTGAGATCTCGACTGATCCTCGTCAACTAACTTGAATCTGAAATCGTCCTCCCACTCTACACCAACGATGTAGTTGATGAGTCCATTGATCAGAGTGGACTTTCCAGATCCAGTTGCTCCGAGAAGCATTATTGTACAATTTTGCCTCATGCTTTCTTTGCCAAAGTTGTACCTCCGGCATCCTTCAACGTCCATGTCTTCTTCTGTCAGAGGCAGTTTGTAAACTGAGGGAGATTCAGAGTTGATCCTCTTGCTTTTACTTATGAGGGATTCTGCAAGACGTGCAAATTCACGTTTAGTTGTGCGGACATTAACAGCGATGCTTTCTTTGCTTCTTCCAGCTGCACCACAATCACACCTGACCCTGACAGCGTATTCTGTCTCTGGCTGAAGTCCTGAAATGATCGCCTTCTCAGCTCCCGCCATCATTTGCTCCCAGTGGAGATCTTCCTCTTTCCCCTGTTGGTCTGGTTTGGCGTACTCCACGATGTAGCTCAAAACCTGGACATCTTGTCCGAGCTCAGCAGGTTTCTCCCAGCTGACTGATATCTCACCTGAGGTAGATTCAACGTGGAGTTCTCCAGGAGGGCTGCAGGGTAAGGTTTGAATGGATCCACTGACTTCATTGGCTGGCCCGGCACCTACTGGTGTCTCTGCCCTGCATCTGAACCTGTACTCTGTGTTAGGACTCAGGCCGCTCACTGTGACTTCTTCAGCTCTGGATGCTGTCTCTTGTTTCCAGCCGTCCTCTCCTCTGACACAGTACTCAACAGAGTAGGAGGTGATGTCCTCTGCTCCAAATCTGGGTGGAGAAATCTTCAGCGTCACACTGTTGTGGTTTATATCACTTCCTGTTACTGCTGCAGGCTTTGAAGGCGGCTCAAAGTTCTCGTTGACAGAAAAGCCGTCTGTGTAAAGGTAGATGCTGGCACCTTTCGGTGTCTCGTTTGTTAAACCCACCATCAGAAATGTGATGTTCTTGTTCTCCTTGTTGGCCTCTGCAAAATCACTGAAGAGCTTTGCTTTGTTCCTCAATGTTTCTGCTACTTTGTTTGTGAGGTACCATTGTTCCTTTCCTAGATCTGGAGGGTGTGGATCTTTGGCATCGGCTGGTTTGGGTGTTTGTTTCAGGTAGTTTGATAAAGTTGAGAGGTACGGTTCATCTCTTCCCAGCGAGGTGAAGACAAAACACACAGCCTGCTCTGCTTTGAGAATTTCTTCATGAAGATCATTTTCGCGTGGGACGATCTTGGTGTTTTTCATCTTGTTGGTGTACGACTTCAAAATGGAGATTTCTATCTCCTTACAGTCCATCCACTCGTTCAGGTCCTTGCTCTTGAAAGGAGAAGAACATGTCTTCCTCAGTTCCTCTGCGAGCACAGCTTCTTCTTCTCCTCCTCCTCGGATTGATGGAAGTTTCTTTGCCAGGTTTCGTTGGAATTCCAGTTTGAACTGAGAGCACTTCTGTTTGAAGGTTTTGAGTTTTTCTCCAATCTCTGGGAACTGCTGTGCAGTTTGGGTTCTCAGTGCATCCTTGCACCTCATCTCCAGGTCACTGAAGTCCTCCAGGACACTCTGACATTCTTCAACTAATCCTATACTTATCTGACGGACAAGTTTAGCGGCAGAATAATCTAAACATGTCAGAGGCAACAGCCAGACCTTCACTGGTACTGCGTTTTCCCCGTTGGCTCCCAGCAGCTTTGGCAGACTTTGGTACACCTCTACTGCCTCCTGAAAGGATGTCGGAGGTTTCTGAATCAAAAAGTCTCCAAAGAATCTGCAGGACAGTTTCTCATCATTTGCTTTGTCCTTGTCTTCCATTTTCAGCGAGCCTTCACCCTCTATTGACAGGGAGGGAATGTTCTTGATCATCACCTTCAAGTTGCCCTGAATGTCTCGATGGTTCTCGTTGACAGACACCTCACGGTCAAAGACAAAGAAGGCTTGTGCCCCATAAAGGATTCCTGTGACTACATGTGTTGCTATTCCTTGATCAAAGACATATGGATGCTTAACATTGCCTTTTCCAAGATGATTCATGGACAGTTCTTGGAACTTTGTGGTAGTTTTGTACTTCAGTGTTACTCTGGCCTGATTTTTGGAAGTCTTGCTATCGTTCAGGTATTTGGCTGATCCTTCAACCTCTACCAGTCCACTCAAGAAACTTGCCTTCAGCGAGGCTTCAACCTCAAGTGCTGAAGATTTATCCTCAATTGATTCAGATGCCACCATCTCAAAGTCACTGCTAGGTTTCGGTCTTTCTCTTGTATCTTTTTCCAGGTCATCACAGTCCCACAGTGTCAGGCCTGTCCAAAAAAAAAGATATTCAAAGATATTCATCTGCATTTGATTGCATGATAGTAAGGCTAAGCTGTTTGACACAAAATTAGAGAAACACCAAGACAAAAGTTTCATTTTTCGTCTATTGATGTCACTAATGTTGAATGTGATTAAAGTGAACATAAATGAATCTGGAACTTTCTGGCAATGTTAGCTGGCTATAGGATCTGCGAACAACTGGCCTAAAGAACACGCATAAACACACTGTTTTCCCTGAAATTATACGCCAAAAATTAAGACTAAATATCCATTCCAATGGTCCACCAATTGGTTAGTTCAAATATCTAAAATAACAACAGGACATTCGAGCTGCTAAATTAATCTGCTTGTAACAAACAGTTATAGTGTTTTATGAGGAAATCTGTTAACCATATATACTGCTATTTCTCTACTCTACAAGCACAAAAGATTCCACCATGGTTAGGGTAATCTTGTTTTTCCTTTTAACCAGCCACTTGTATAAACTGTTAGCGGTGTCTATGTTTTGCATACCAGCAACTACAAGATGTATGCCTGCTGCTCCTATTACTACTCAAAAAAATTATCCTAAAATCTGAATATTGGCAAAACTAGAATGTAGCCTAAAACTAAAATCAGAAGAATCACAATCACAGGTTTCCTTATTGCACAGTAGCAAGGCTAACAGAGATTAATATGAAGCTACATCTGGGCCAGAAGTTCAGACAATTAAAGATCATCAAAGAAAAAAAGAAAATAAATGTAAAGTTCAAGTTTTGATCCCAAACATTTAATAATACAATGATTTATTCAAACAAAGAATAAGCATTTACATTTTTTCAGATTGAATTTTGGTTTCAGGTTATTTTGATTAACTTTTAGTTATATTATGTTATTTGAGTAATTGTTTCAGTTTTTTTAACTCAACACTTCTTATACACAATACTCCCGTGATTGGCAGTAAATTAAAAACTGATGCCAGTGACAAGGTTCTATTTAGCGAGCTGCTTTTAATCGCACTTGGCAACAATTGTGGTATAAGAGCAATGAACTGTGCTGGATTGTGAAGTTTGTGAATGCATATGGATGACCCCCACTTCCATACAGCAGCCCTATTGTGAGCTTGCAATAGCATGCGCTCCACCAGGACAACCTGCCGGCACCATGGCTGGCACTAGCGCACAGAGAAGAAATGTTAGCTATATTTGCCAGGTTGCCATTGGCAACCATTCAGAAACAATTTCAACCATTTATTGGCCTTTGGTTGCCATCAGTGGCAACCAATTTTTAACATAAATAAATTAGGACAGCAAACAGCAAAATGTGCACCCCAAAATAGATAAATGTTAATTATTTGTTGTATTAACCTCTTAAGAGTGATATTTAATTATTGTTGTGACCAGTCACAACCTGATACTTAAAGGAAGACTCCAGTCATTAGATAGTTAATAAAAACTTCAGTATTTAGTGAAACATTATGTTTAAACCATACCCTGAAGAAATCAGTGATATTCCCCGGTAAATAATGATTTTATAGCTCTTTTTTTATCAAAACCTGTATATTCCGTCAGGCAGCTGCCATTTTGGCCATTTTCAGTAGTCATATGATCCGAAAAACTAGGTCGTGACGTCATCTATGCGTTCACTTTGTAAACACATGAACAGCTCATTCGACGAAAACATGGCGGAGTATTTGAGTTCGGACTCGTCAGCCGAGGAAGAAGTTTAGAAAAATAAAGTCCAGGCGGACTCACCTCTGGGTAATTTGGGAACCATCCTTTCCGTTTGACCTTTTTCACTGTAAAAATCATTTTATTACTTTGAATTATCACTATAGGTATTCATTCCATCCAAATACAACTGTAAAAAAAATAAAAAAACATACTCTGTTATCCTCTTAGGCCCCACGGACCCGGTTCCGGGGCCGAAATCGCGTCATTTGCAGGAAACAACGTCTCAGGAACCTTAATATTTAATAAACTATGAATATTTGATATCCATATAATGGGAAAAAACTAATTTAACTGAACTTTTTCATTTTTTCCTTCAAAAAAAACAAACACACAATGCTAACAGTGAGCCTCTGAATTAGCCCCGAGCGAAAAATGCTAACCTATTACTGCACCGCAAATCACTCCTAGCTCCCTTATTACTTATCCTAGCTGCACATCCAACACATCGTTTATGATCGTAAAGACACAGAATCTAACGGTGCCCACCTCAACACTGAAAGATACAAACTCGCAACGTTATCAACAAAAACATACATCAAAACAAGTGGCGCTAGGTACTAACATGCGCTAGGCTAACATGGCTTACCTTGGTCTTTTTCTGGTCTAAACTGGTCTTCAATGGCATTAAAACGATAAAAACGATGATGTAGTTAATCCATAGGTTAATATCCAATGGGGCTGTGTCCCCTTTGAAATATTCTGATAATCTATAAGCAATAAAACTGCAATTCCGTTATCTGCTGTCCGCTCCGTGCTCCGTGCGCTCTGGGTCCTGCAATTCCTGCTTCCTTCCGTAGTAAACAATAAGTAAAGTCTGCTGCGTAATGTGCTTACACTGGCTGGCATTGGCAGTGCACTGCATCCCCATTAAGTAATGGTTGATTAATAAATCCCATTTTATGTTTCATCATACTCTCAGAGTAGTCGTCCGGAAACTTGAAATGTTCGCTGCATACATGCGCCTGTGGATCTTTCGGTTCGGGCCGAGCACATTTCGCTAGCCACTGCCTACGAACGTACTTCCTACGCTTACCCGTTGGCAATAGATGGAACCGAGCATTCCGTGGATTGTTCCTATCCGAATTGCGGCAATGTTTTGCGATACAATGAGGCATATTTCTATAGAATTGTGAGAGTAACTAGAGTAAACAACATGAACAAAGCACATACGTCAATTTGTCCTCGACACCAAACGCATAGTTCACGTCACTTCCGGTAAAATAAGTCATGTGACTCGTCAAAATGGCACCGCCCACAGGGTTGAAGTTATTTCGGTAATTAATCAGTTTAAAATCACTGATAACCTCATCGGATTTAAAAAATTTAAAAAAAGACTGGCAGAGACTGGTCTGTTTTATCGGATGATAATTATTTAAAAATGCGTGTCATGAGGATTGCCTCCCTTTAAGTTGCACGTGCATTGGTGTGATTACGGAGCCAGAAAGCGATGCAAGTTTACTTGCGTCCGCGGTGCGCCGTGTGTTTGTTTTACAAAAAATGGTGAAGCAAATTAAGTTCAGTCAGACAACTCACGTGTTTCTTTAACATGTTTATTAGAAGCAGCATATAGTTACGTTTGGCGACTAGGCTCGGGCATCATCACTCCATAGATATACATAGCACGATGAGTGATGATTAAATAACTAACCCCCGAGCCTACAGGTGGAAGCTGGGGTGGAAGCTGGGGTGGTGATGGGGCAGGCAAGCAGCAGCGACGTAGAGGTAGCTGCAGCAATAGCAGCAGCAAGCAATGCATGGAGAGAGATCTGGAAGGTTAAATAGAGCGGCGTATTAAGGAGACTCTGTTTGGTTGGTTGTAGAGTGGCAAGGGGACGTTATGTATGAATGCAGCATCAGTGCTCGAGTTGACTGCCTGAACTAGCTCGCAGGCTTCGCCCCATTTCAGTCAGACAACTCACGTGTTTCTTTAACATGTTTATTAGAAGCAGCATATAGTTACGTTTGGCGACTAGGCTCGGGCATCATCACTCCATAGATATACATAGCACGATGAGTGATGATCAAATAACTAACCCCCAAAACTGCGTAGCCCGAACCTGACGCTGGTGATGTAAGACTGATAAGTAGAGGGCCTGGCGAGCTGCCATGTGGCCATTCCCCCTAAGCACAGCGGCTTTAAGGGGAATATACTACTAAGTGAGACTGCTATGTGTAGGCCTGAGGAATAGCCCAGAGCCGATTCTTCCCCAGCACAGCGGCTTTGAGAGGAATATACTACCTATATACACTACCTAGTGAAACTGCTATGTGAAGGCCCGGGAACAGCCCGAAAAGCCATCCCCCTTAAGCACCGCGGCTTTGAGGGGAATATACTACCTAGAGAGACTGCTATGTGTAGGCCTGGAAGTGACCAGTGCCGACCCCCCCCCCCAGCACCGCGGCTTTGAGGGGAATATACTACCTATATCAAGACTGCTGTGTCTAGGTCTTTGAGGCAGCGACAATGAGCTTTCCCCCCCAAGCATGCAGCTATGAGGGGAATATACTACTTAGTGAGACTGCTATGTGAAGGCCCGGGAACAGCCCGAAAAGCCATCCCCCTTAAGCACCGCGACTTTAAGGGGAATATACTACCTAGAGAGACTGCTATGTGTAGGCCTGGAAGTGACCAGTGCCGACCCCCCCCCCCAGCACCGCGGCTTTGAGGGGAATATACTACCTATCAATACTGCTGTGTCTAGGTCTTGAGGCAGCGACAATAAGCTTTCCCCCCCAAGCATGCAGCTATGAGGGGAATATACTATAATGAAATAAATATAATCTAACCCAGGAACCACCTGGTATGCAATAACAGAATTCTACAGATATACATCTTTGAACGTTACTCATCATCGAGTAGTGCAAGAGCTCATGGTTGCTTGTGCTGAAAGGATCTCATCCCTGTGAGGCATGATATAGCGCTGGTGAGCAGAAGATGACCGACGGCCCAGGATACTCAGGGTTGAGGTAGGCGGATATAGAGCTGCGGTTGTGGCTGTGCAGATTCTTAAACAGTGGGAATAGCGATCTGGGGGCAGGTCGCAGCTTAGGCAGAGATCACGCAGCTTGGAGGAGAACCCTCGTCGTTGGGTTTGCAGCCATCGAATAAACATGGGTGCCGACCCATGTGTCAGAGGGCAATGATGCGAGAAGTTCAGCATGGAAGATAAAGGACAAAGAAAACAGTGTTAGTTTTAGCAATGATTATTCGGGGTTCCTTGACTCTCCAGACAGAACTGTCAGACATTGAATGTTTCAAAACAGTGTGTATATTT